GCGGCTTGCCAGTTTTCGCGCCAAGGATGACGTGGCTTGCCGTACGATCACTTTTCACTAGTGAAAAACACTGTTCGTCCAATCAGACGTCGCGAACTATGATTTTTCACTAGTGAAATTTCATCATTCGCGTCGCTGATTGGCTGCGACTAAAAACAGAACGATGTTTTCATCTCTGTCATCTCTGTGGATAAATCTCAGTACTTATAAAATAAACTGGTTTTCACACTGAAGAAAGCCTATGCCCGAAACGTTTGTGATTTTTCACAAGATGATGAACCTTTGACATTTTTCTACCTTATCGGTTTTCAGTTTTTATTTTCTTTTGATTTTTTAGACCGAAGTGCACGGTTCAGTTCACGTTCTCCGCAAGCGCTCGAGTGTTTCACTTCATCTCTGGTCAAGCATCAGAGAAACTTATAAAACAACGCTCAAGATCTCTCTTGTTTCGGTTTTTTTTTTTTTCGAGATCTGTCAGCTTTCGGGCGTTGATCTTCGATTGTTTGTTTTTTTTTCTGTGTGTGCGACTGTGTGTGTTGCACCTAGTTTTACTTTATTATTCCGTCAAATATATGGAAGGAAATATATGTTTTTTTCAAGTTGGTCATTGCTTTTGTTTATTTGTGGCTCCTAAAAGAGCCGTTTGGTTTATTGGACGCCGGGCGAAGATATCTTTTCGTTTATTTCTTCTTGGTCACCTTAGCTTTCTTGACTGCGGCCGGCTTTTTAACTTCTTTCTTTGTGCTAGGTTTCTTCGCAGCTACCTTCGGCTTTGTTGGTGACTTTGTGTCTGATGGCCTCTTGACTGCAGGCTTCTTGGACGTATCTTTCTTGGATGACGGACTTTTTGTGGAAGAGTTTTTCTTAGAGGAAGTCTCTTTCTTGGCCGCAGGTTTCTTGGTGGAAGCTTTCGATGTAGCAGCAGGTTTCTTTGGCTTAGCCACCGGCTTTTTACTCGACGTAGCAGACTTTCTGGTCGGCTTTTTCTGCTCTTTTGGTAGCTTAAATGATCCTGAAGCTCCCACTCCCTTGGTGTGGATGAAGGTTCCATTGGCTGTAC